AATGTTCCTGCGCCATAACCCTATATCATACCTTAGAACAAACGTCCCAGTGTTGCTGTGACCCGCTATGGACTCGGTGACCCTCCCCTTCTGACGCCTCTTATCAGATCTTATCAGCTGATATCACTCCCTGTCACCCACCAATAATGTTCCCGTCACAGCCTCTATATCACTGCTTGGAATCAACTTCCTACAGCAACTGGGACGGTCGCTATGAATTTCGTGACAGACACACACACACACACACACACACAGACAGACAGACAGACAGACAGACACACTTAGCGGATTATATATAGTAGGATGCTCGTTTATCTCGAGAACCCAACTAAGAATAAAAGTAGTTCCAGTAAATAGCCGAATGGAAAGTTATTCGCCTACCAAATATGGAATAACAGCAGCAACACAATGCGATCGTAGAAAAGCTAGAACGGCTTGCCGATCAAGATTTCGTGCCACATCAGACTCCTCACCGATGAATATCTTCAAAACGAACTCGATCATACAGAGCTGTCGACTAATCTACAAAACGAATCCAATCACTAACCTCAAGGCCACTAGCCATATCTTTATCAAGCACCCATCGTGCATACTTGAATATGAGTTCTAAGTGGGTATTCCCTAAAGTCTGCAGATATCCCACAGTCCGGTCCAAATCGTGGAAGAACGGGTCCGCATCTGGGTCCAAGAATTGTTTGTGAAGTAGCTCCAAGGCTGTAAAGGAAATGAAGTGGGGCATGATTCACAGAAGAAAGAAATCAAACTAAAATGGGGGTGGGGGGCATTTTGCACTTTTGCTACTCTAAATCGACGTGTCGACCAGTCTAGAGAGCTATTTCATGAGCTTGCAGGAGTTGACAGGTATTACCTTCGCTTACTCCAGCTTCACAAGAGTTCACAGATTTCACCAGGTGAGACTTGTAAAATGGAATTAGTGAAGCAGCGAAAGTGCAAAATGCCCCCCCCCCGTCGCCGAACTGCGCCCAAAGTGGAACAACTTTTCGTAGCCCCCACCCATTTCGTGCTTTTTCCGCGACTCGTACAATATGAACAACGAAGGCAGACGATTCTCATTAAGCAGGATAGATTCGGCATCCTCGAAAAAGCACGAATTGTTATGAAGGCGGAGCAACGAATCCACAAGTGAAGGCCTTGTCTGAAAGAGTAAAGTGCGAGTCTGAGTTATGTCGGCAGTAGAACGGTCACAATAAACTAATTTTAGGCTTGCCTGTAGGTAACATTTCAGAAGAGCGGTGTCGACAACTTGAAGAGAAATTCGTGAAGGCTTTTGAGATGCTTCGGGATTGACTGTCGATGGCTTTGGGTCGATCCTTACATGCTGACTGAATTCTGGAGTTGGCTTGATAAATCGAGCGAACCTATAGCCAAAACCAAAATTTGGAGCCAAAAACACTGTAACTGCCTATACCAGATTCGCACTGCCCCGTCTTTTGGATAAAGTGACTGCTGTTAGCCTGACAATGCAGAAACAGAAGTTACAAAGCCAGATCTGTCAAAGGAAGCCGAAGCCAATCTTTTAAAGTTTTCTGCAGGCAATAAACGATGAAAGAATGAAGAGGAAAAAAACCGCCCGAAAGTTAGTTTCCCAACGCAAGCAAGCCGCCCTCGTATTCTTGCTCGTTAGCAGGCGATTTATTCCAAAAGCGCGCCTGCATTATTACCGCCAATTTTCCGGCCAAAAAACTCCAGGAAACATCCGCGATAATGCTGTTGATGACGTCTATAACAACCGATTATCTGTTAGTCAACATAACGCTGAAACAGGGGTAGAAGCGGCTGTCACTCAAGGTCATCAGGCGGAGGCGAAGCTAACAGCTCTCAAGCAAGAAGCCTAGAAAAGCCGAGCACGCAAAATTGAATGCTGGTCTTTACTCCAGTACTGAGCCGTTGAATCCTCAAACAGGTCTTTTCTCACCAAAGAGGTCGTCCCAAAGCTAAAGGGAAAAGCCTCTTCAGCCTTTTTGAAAATACCTGAACCATGAGGAAGCAAAATGTTGAAGGTATGAACGAGCAAAGATCATGCCCTGGCGATGAGTATTTCGATGAGAGACCTTATAACAGAAAACGAGCCTGTTTTGATCTCCGCATGCAGTTGAAAAGACTCCTCAAAACGTTTCCGTTGGAACAAGTTCAACGCAGCTTGTCGTTTTATCTCGATTTTATTATCTTCTGTGAAGAAGTTTGACGTTTCCTGAATACTTCTTGTCTATCATAAGTGTAAATTCATCAACATCAAATAAACATACCACAACTTGAATGGCTAGTTCAAATTGTTTATCGGAAATGAGTGTAGACACATTCTTGCGGATGTTCACATGAGCATCTAGCATCCAGACATCAAATGGGCTGCTGATAAACACGTAGCCACTGAAAGTACTGGTAAGATGTTGCAAAACCGCTAAAATATGGGACAAAGTCGTAGCCCAACGACTCCGACACTGATATTACGCTAACGTTCACCCACTAGGCCTTTCAGGCTTCATGGAAGAGGAGCCCATGACGTGAAATTAGTGTAAACGACGAAGTTATGTTTGCACTTGTTGTCTATGAAAGCCAGTACAAGTGAGTGTATAAGTAAGCAAAGCACAAGCCACCTCATAAAAAAGAAGGCTCTTTCTGCACAATGTCACCTATAAGGTCTCTTCAACCTTGACAGTTGCTGAAAACGGAGCGGAAATGTAGGGAAATATCTCCGACCAAACTGAGGTGGATTTGCCTAGAAATAGGCTCGGGGTTAGTTTGACCCGCTGAACACCAACACTACATTCAAAGATTCAGAGCGAGAGTGCTCAGGACTGACGGACGGACGCACTCGTGAACGGGGCCAAGTCGATCATGAAGAAAATCTGGCCAAAATGATTTTCGGGAACATATTTCAACGAAGGTTGAATTCAGATTCAAATTAATGTGGTCAAAAAGTTTAATAGTACTATAGGTCCAACGAAGTACGCAGTGGAATAAAACTTACGATTCCCAACACATAGAAGAGAGGCTTTGCTTAATGCCATACTCTGAATAAGATGAGGAGGATTCAACGATCGTACTTCTACTCGTCCTTTTGGCAATAATCCAACGACATACGGTGCATCGTATACTGTAACATTAAAGTGAAATTCGCCCAAATTAGAGAATGTTACGAAACTGCGTATTGAAGTGGTTATAATATATATCACAGGGAACGTCGCTGAAGCGCACATCGGCTAATGGAGTCTTTTGCCCCTCCAAATTGGTCAGTATGAGTGTGTCGCCATGTGAGAATCCTAGAAGATCGCGATCCCTCATCACGATTATCGATGGATTATCACTAACATCGAAGAGACGACGACAATCGCCCGTCCAAGACTAAAGACTTGAAAGACATTAGTGGCAACGAGAAAAAAAGATTTTCAAGGAAATCGAGCAAAACTCAAAAACTACCTCTCCGTCTTCGCTAGTCGTCTTTGTGAGTTTGACAAGTAAATATTCGCGACCACAACTCATCACAAGAGTGTTACCAATTATTCTGAAATTTAAGTGAAAAGAACAGGGTACGTTCTGTCTCTGGGAGCAATTTTCACGAGTAACGCTCCTCCCCCATCCTAGGGGGTCGTGCCAGAGGAAGGTAGAAGGAGGTAGTACATAGCTAACTGAAGGGGAAAAACGCAAAAAATCAGCAACCGGAAAAAACGTCCCTAAGGCCACTTACGACCCTACCCCATCGCCTTCCTAAGGGAGTCCTCCAACGTGGTGGATAACGCGCCTGAACCAGGCAAATCAGCTACCGAAAAAATTTTTCAAGCAAAAACGATCTCCCTCCTTCCAGCAACCGAATATGACCTCCGCTGGGGACTCCCCAGTGTACGACGTGTTCTGGCCATGAAATGATGAGTTAGACTATCGGCTGCATTTGAGTCAGAAATCTACGCAGTGACGCGACAGAATCTGCTTTTCACGCCCCGCGAGACCAAGTGAAATCCTCTCGCTCATGAAAAAAATTATTAGAGTAGGAGCAGAAATAAATCCGTAAAGGAAGACACTCTAAAGATACTCAGAAAACTTTGATTGTTCGTTTCGCCCTTGCATCAGATGAGTCGACCTGGGGAGGAAAGGGCACCCTGTCGCGCCGCAGCGGGGAACCCTCAAATAAAGTAGCGCTCCCTGTTGGACTCACCTCATGGTATTCGGTTTGTCTGCAAACGACTGATTACATTCGAAGCGGACATCTTGAAAGTCCTTCTCGAACCATTTGAACAAGTAGAGCCTCTTTTTAGAGGAAACAAATATGTGCATATCATCGCCATCCTGAACAAGGAACTTGAAAACAGAGGGAAACAATTCATAAAATCGGGCAATGAAATACTGAACTAAGTGGGTGCTGCAGATGCTAGGGGAGGGGGCGTAGGGGGTGGGATCTGTATCGCGACGCGGATAACGGGTAAGCCTGTTTCAACGTACCCCCCCCCCGGAGTGACTCCTTCCCTCAAAAGCATCAGGTTAAAAGAGAGCTAGACAGAGGTGCGACAGTAGGTGCGGCATAGTAACAAATAGTCTTGCGCCGCGCATCACCTCCCCCTGAAAGGTAGATGGCTTGGTTAGCCTGGAATGCTACCGACCCGAGATTTGTACCCCGGAGCGCAACAGTGGTAAGCATGCCAGTGTTCCTCATATACAGAGGAGAAATTCAAGAGACTAGAGGGAAATCCGTTGGGAAGCGTACCAATAGGTTATCGCGTCAAGCGCTCTTAGCCGTGCGATGTTGCCTTCAAAACGTTTGCTGAGGCACCCTAAGCGACGATTCGAAACCACTGCCGCCGCGCAGTAAGTGCACAGGCGTGCTACGTCGCGTTGCCACCTCTTGCCCCTGCCAGAATCCATCATGGTTTTACTTTTTGCTTTGATCGCTGTCTCTCTCGGTGCTTTCTACGAAACGTTCCAGTCTGGCCACAAAGTATATTCATGCACCCGGTTAACACACAAAAGCATGGTGGAAGGAGAACTTGATCATCAGAAATTACAAGAAATGGCGTTGAATCACCTCTGGGATCCACGTAGCAAACCCAGTAACAGGCTTGATCTTGTGAAGAATTGATACAACGGGAAAATGTCGGTCTTCTGAAAACGGTCACTGTCCTTTACTATAAAAAGGAAAGAAGGAGCGATAAAGTTTCGATGACAAACTTAGATAATGTGCGGCCATTTGACCGTCAGAAACGCAGAAAACAAGATCCTGTTCCTCACAGATGGATAAATCCAACACAGCTTTTCTTTCAAACTGCTTGCACAAAGTGTCGAGATCAAATCCACGGCGATCTAGAAATATTGTACGAATAAGAAAATCACTCCTGTACGAATTAACTAATGGCCTGAAGGTACTACTGACTTACTAGTTCGCTTTAGGAGTATAAACGAATAGTTGACCCACTTTGCTCCCTGCATACACGCTACCACATGACTCTTAAAAAATAGTATACTTGTATTAAATAACGTTGCAAGAAGTAGCAAGCAATGCAAATAAATTTAATACACGGAAAAGTGACCAGTGTAGTGTTACTTGGTTATATAGATCCGATATAAGATGGTAATAATGATGCTATAGCCAGAGGTGATACCCGAAACTTACTACATGGCATCCAGGATCAAATCATCTCGCTCTGATTGGGTGTAGTACAGGACATTCACGTTACGGTTAGAGCGCGTTCAGACTTCGCGATCGTGCGATTGGATCGCGCGATCCTTGTCGAGCGATCCGATCGCGCGATCCAATCGCACGATCTGAAGTCTGAACGCGCTCTGAAGGCAATGAAAGAGACGTTACAAGCTGTATCAGGTGCTCGGCATTCGCACCACAACCCACTCGAATGAACATGGCAACGCTGTAGGAACATCAATTTAGAAATACCTTATGTCACCTGCCGCGTCGCGGGTCTATTAAGCCACACACGCCCCCATAGAACTTCCGCATTCCTCTAATAGTATAAACTGTGCAGGCTATATCTGACCATGAGAAGACAAGACAGGTATTGGCTCACGCCTAAGTACCCACTAAGGAGCCCTCACGCTATCGAAAACCAAATTGTAGAGTTGTGGCCATATTTTGCGTTCCCTTTGCATCTTAGAAGATTCGTGAATACTATTGATTACCCTCGCAGTCTGGGAGATCATGGGTCGTGCGATTTCCGCTGTAGACAACTACGAACCATTGCAAAGCATCACGAGGAGGGGGGGGGACGGTTCTTCCCCAAAAGACTCCTCAATCCCCTTCCTTTTGTAATGAACTCTCAATGAAGACCTAATAACTGAAGGGAATGATCAACTGCCATGGTAATCGGCAATACCAGCACTTTTCTAGGAGTCATTTATTTTGACAACAAGGGCGATATGATAAGAAAGGGGTGCCTGGAGTTTGCGAACGCTTACGCGCCACGCATAGCACTCACCTCCAGGACTACTGCAAAAGAGT